ATAAAATTTGTATGCACTTACATCTTTTCAAATTTTGTTTATACAAGCTAACACTTTTCGAACAACTTCATTTATTTATTTTGATTTTAGGCCACAAATGTAATCATCCATAACATTCGACTTCATCATTGCAAACCTCAAGCTCCAGGGGTTGTGATGGGACCAGAAGGAAAGGTGATTCCTTTAGGCCATGTAGATGGAGATGCAATAAGATTGGTTACTGCTTCAAAGATTTGGATTGATCATAATACACTTTATAATTGTCAAGATGGCTTACTAGATGTAACACGGGGTTCAACTGATGTGACTATATCTAATAATTGGTTTAGAAACCAAGACAAAGTCATGCTTCTTGGACATGATGATGGTTATATAAGAGATCAAAACATGAAGGTTACTCTTGTATACAACCACTTTGGACCTAATTGTAATCAACGCATGCCCAGGTAATTAATTATTAATTTAGTACATAATAAACACAAATTTAAATAAATTTCACAATTTTATACTTTCTCGTGAATAAAAACATGTTAGGATTCGTCATGGGTATGCACATGTAGTCAATAATCTTTACTTAGGATGGGTGCAATATGCCATTGGTGGAAGTATGAGACCTAGTCTCAAAAGTGAAGCTAATCTCTTTATAGCACCAACAAAAGGGAGTAAAGAGGTAAGCAATTTTAGTTTTTCCATTTCAACTACTTAATATTCAATTAATAACACATCAGAAAAGTTGGATATGAATGAAGAAGTCACTTTAGTAATCTTTTTATTGATTTAATGTGTGAAGGTAACATGGAGAAAAAATAGCCAAGGAAATGGAGATGCATGGAAGTTTTATTCACTGAAAGACGCATTTGAGAATGGAGCTTCTTTCACAATGACAAAAGGAGGACATGTGCCAAAACCAAACTATAATGAAGAACAACGTTTTAGTGTTGTTAATGTCAAATATGTAAGATTATTAACTCGTTCATCAGGTGTATTACGATGCACTACAACATCTTTATGTTGATAAGTAAAAGAATCTTAAAAAGAAAGAGGTAAGCAATTTTAGCTTTTCCATTTCAACTACTTAATATTCAATTAGTAACACATCACAAAAGTTGGATATGTATGAAGAAGTCATTTTGGTAATCTTTTTATTAATTTAATGTGTGAAGGTAACATGGAGAAAAAATAGCCACGAAAATGGAGATGCATAGAAGTTTTATTCAATAAAAGATGCATTTGAAAAAAGAGCTTCTTTCACAATGACAAAAGGAGGACATGTGCCGAAATCAAACTATAATAAAGAACAACTTTTTAATGTTGTTAATATCAAATATGTAAAGTTATTATCTCGTTCATGAAGTGTATTACAATGCACTACAACATCTTTATGTTGATAAGTAAAAGAATGAAAAATTTTAGTCCATTAAATAAATAATGAGAAATTCATTTCTCCCATATGTGTTCTATGATATACTAAGTGTAATTTTTCATTTATGAATATATGATACATTTTTTTCTTATCTATTTTAGTAGTAATAATTTTAGGAAGACATCTAACTCTTCTTTCCTTTTTCATTATTTATTAATAACATTGACAGTAATTTATTCAATAATTCTGATGCTACACAATTATAGTTTAAGTGAATATTATATATATATATATATATATATATATATATAGTGTAATTTACAATTTCTGACCCTTAAACAATAAAATCATAAATTAAATTTTATAAATAAACTATGATGAAAGACTTCACTTTTTCCAACTGACATTTTTTCTACTTTACCTTTAGACGTTCAAAGTCTTTCATAAAGACCAGAAAATTATTTTATAAGTATGATTTTTCTACTTCGATTCTCTACAGTAATCAGCAATGTATAAAGTATTTGATGCAAGCATGCGTACATGGAAGATGACACATATAGCATGACCTTCTGTTCATAGTTCCTCTTTAAAATAACTTTGTTTGTTGAGAAGATTTGACTTTAGAAAAGTAATTTAATTTTTCTAAGTCCTTCTCATATTGTAAGATCAATACAACTCGTATTGCAAGATAAATACAACTCATATAACAAGTTGAGTAAGTATTTTATCGCAACAATCATTGTTTCTCTTAATTAATAATTTAACATACCGATATTTTTCCCCTAATAAATACAAGAAAGTTCTCATTAGAAAAATAAACATAATTTATAAATGTTCATTATATCATATAAGAGATTATAACTTCACATAGAGAATGTTTTATAAAGAAAGTTGTGTAATTGATCTGATAAATGATTCTGTATGTAAAATCATCTTGAAAATTATTTTCTTTTACTTAGAGTTTTTAATAGTTTTTGCATTCTATACATAATAGTGTTGACACATATGAAAATAGTTTTGTAAAGATCGTCTGAGTTATGAAAACAATATTTAGATTCTTTGGAATTAGACTATTGATGTCAATCATAAGTTATTAAGATTATTGTAAATTGTTAACAAAATCACGAACAAAATCAACCATAAGTTATTAAGATTGTTGTAAATTGCTAACAAAATCACGAACAAAATTTCCTAAGACGTGTAGATCTACTATGCTTAAAGACTTATTCATAGTGTATTGTGTAAGTTCCCAAGATATAACACGAACTTCAAAAATCTTTCGAGGATAACAAGACTAATATGTAATCTCTTAAGGAATAAAAAAGCCCAAAGATATTTGAGAATAAACAAGAAGGAGAACAAAGAGATGAAAGGGGAAGAGCTTAAGATGATAACTATGAGGAGAGTTCGAAATTGTATATATGTAAGAGAGTGCTCGAGAAATGTATTCTATGAGAAAGAGCTTCTCTAAGAGATTCTATGAAAGGGAGCTCTTTGAGTGTTTATGTGAGAGAGCTCGTCCAAATGTGTTTTGTGCATTTGGAACGTATCTCAATCCTTTATTTATAAGGTGGGATGAGAAAAGAGTATGGCCCAAGCTCCACCACATGTGGAAGAATCCCACACCTTATGGTTTAACATGACCATTCCACAAGCGTAGAATGTAGAAGAAATCTCAAGTCTTGTAGAAGAAAGGTTTGACCAGGAGTTTGTTAGAGTAAGCAACAGAACTCGACCACACCAAAACTCGAGCACACAAGTTCGGTCTCAGGAGCTCAATCATGAGAGTTCAATGACGAGAACTCAGCCACAAGAGCTTGACCAGATGAACTCGACCAACACAAGTTCAACCAATGAACTTGGCCAACATTTGAAACTTTTGCAATATATATGTAAAAGCACTTATAACCAACTATGGAGCTGTAAGTGGTGCGTGTGTCACCATACAGGTGAACCCAGGTATTTATTTATTTTTGGGAGTTTCGTTATCTTCTTTTCCTACCACATCATCAAGGACAATTCCTTAATAGCTTGGTCAATATTGGATCATTTGAGTTCTATGTTTCTAATAATATCTTATCTGTTCGGTTGCAGAATGTAAACATAGGAATTATGAGCTATAGGCGAAAATTAAGAATCACGATAACAACTCTAAAGGGATTCATAAGAAAAATTCAGTCTCAGGTGAAGAGAAACTCATGTTTTGCATTAAGGAGATATCATACATACCCAACACAAAAGTAATTGAGCTTACATTACGTACGAAATCAAGGCGAGAAATATTATTCTTAAAAAATTGCATATATATTGTCTGAATAATCAAATCATCTTCGTTTTTTTCAATTACTTTTTGTTCGATTAAATGCATCATTTTTTCTCTGCTGAAATTGTCACTTCATTTATCACATTCAGAACAAAATATATCACAAAAAGTGTTTACTTAAAGCATTCCTATGCAAAAATTTTAATGATAAAATCAACAATAATATTTTCTAACATGGCTTCTCTGGTAGATAAAATTGTTAAAAGCATTAACATTTCTTGTGACATTAAAGATCTTAAATCAGTTCTTATAAACTTTAACTTTGAAAATCTGAATTTATATTGATATTACATTATCAAGTACAGTTAGTACGATCCTATAAGCAATTAAAACATGTGAATAACAAACACAACTAAAGAATGTCAATAGATATAATTAACTCATCAAGCAAAGTCATTTTCAATACTTTCAATAAAAGAAAATATCATCCAGATTAACATTGGATAAATTATACGAGAAAAGATAGAGTGAACATTATCACAACATTTTCTTAACTAATTATCTTCTAACAAACATTTTCTTATAATATTATTTTAGTTGTTTATATTTATTTGTTATTATTAACATTGACATTTCAAAAAAAGTATAGAATTAGAACAGGAGACACAACATAGAAAAATTAGAAGATAGGAATAACTCCACGTTTTTCTTCACACACAGACCCCACTTAATTTTGTTCAATCTTTCCTATATTTTCTTCTCTACTTAACTAACTTCTTCCTCTCATTTCCCTTTCCTTCCTTTGACTCACATTCCTTTCTATCATACCAGAATAACCGTAAGTCTATCTGCAGAATTTTTCTGTTTTATTTCTTTCATCATATTCCAAAAAATTGGAATAGTTGGTCAGATATCACATCTGAAAAATAATAAATTTGATGAATAACGGGGTTTTGGTTTAAGCTTGGGAGGGAATATCAAAACGATGGAAGAGTTCTTTGGGGGAACATTGTCTAGCACCCTTTTTATACTTGTTTGGAAAACTTCTAAAGGTTTAATGATGACACTATTTGGTAGTGGGTTGCAGAAAGTACCTCTCTGCTCATAGGGTAAAGCTTATGTAGATTTGTCCATACTCCAACTATATATATACAAAAATATTGTAGCTGGAGTTGCAGTCTACATTATTCATGTAAATTATCGTTAATATGAAATAACACTGCTCAAATATTAAAATAGAAAAGAGAAATAAAAGTCTTTTGAAACAAGTTATGAAATTTGGTGTCCCACTAGAGACTACTGGCCTGTGGGCGCTTTGGTTCATACAGACATTCAAAGATCCATAAAGAGAAAATGGAAACAAGGCAAATCTGGAAAATTTAAGCAGCGTTTATTTATAAAATCCGAGCAACCAAATTGCCTAATCAAAGTTCTGAATATTACCAAAATTCCCAGTTCAACAACCAATAATTTATGGATCACAGTCAGTGCTTTGGTTTTATAGTGAAACTTACCTGAGCCTGACCTAGAAAATGGAAATGATAACAGTCTGCAAAATAAACGCAGAACTGATTGATAAGACTAGAACAAGATTACTGAAGGATACCGAACTTTGAAATAGACGTGCAAGTCAACAAGGCAATGCCTCCCATTCAAGGGTTTCACCAGCAAACATGGGAACAATGTCTCCAAATGGAAATGACAAACAATCAGGTACTTTCCAAGGAGCTTTCCTCAGTTTAATCTTTGACTTATTTCTAGGGAGGCCATAGAAGTCAGGCCCATTAAAGCTTGTAAAAGCCTCCAGCTTATCAAGTGCACCGGCCTAAAATTGCAACAATTTCACAAAGAATTTTAAGACTTAAATCCAACAACTTTCAGAAAGCATGCAAAATATTATAACCATACCACATACTCATATAAGCATATTACCATACAAACACGTGAGAAATATGTCAAAATTATGGACATGTGATGCATTATCAGATATCATCATCACCTCTAACATACTGTATTACTTGTTTTGCAAACCATGGACAATATTTTCGCTTCCAATCACAAATTTTCATTTCTAACTATTCTCACAAACTGTGCATATTGCAATTGAATGATAAAAAACCACCCTTCTGAAATCTTCCCAGATGCACATTAGTGAAATGAAGTGTTACCTCTTCAAAAACCTTGGCATATAGTGATAGAGCTACCGGGGAGTTGTATATCCCAGCACATCCACATGAACATTCCTTTCTTCGCCTATCATGTGGTGCACTATCAGTTCCAAGGAAAAATCGTTTACTTCCACTAGTAACAGCCGAAACAATAGCCTGTCCTAAATAAGAAAAGGAAAACAAAAATGAGATAAGATGACAAGGATATGTACAGTTTCTTAACATTATCAACGTGATGATCCTTGTCCCTAGTGACATTTCCTCAAACCTAACTCAGGAATTATGACAGCATAAAGACTGAAACTCTTCAATAGTACTGTGTAGCACGTACTGTGTGCTACACTCTGCAATTAAAATTTATGAAGTACAATTTGTTTCTTGAAAAGACCATTCAATGCACTTCAGAACATATTTATGTTTGCCCAATCAAATCAAACAGGAATCTAATTAATTTAATTAACAGAGTGTAAGACCAAGAAAATTACAAAAAAAAAAATCATATGATTTAAATTATTTCACCTATCTTCCAAATTCAACTGAATCATTAGTTCAAATTGTAAACTAAGAAGTGTGGTATAACACCTGGAAGATGTTGAAATTTAATAGATTGTACAGGAACGAAAAGAAAGCTACATACTATGGATCTCTCTTTTGAGCACTGGAAGACAGTAATTATGAGGCCGTAAGCCACCTTGGAACAAAGCATTACGATTCAGAAGAAGATGCTGTGGTGTTACGGTTGCTGCTACGAAACCTTACAAATATAGCAAATCATGAGAATAATTTTAAAATTAAATAGTACAACACAATGATAAATTAGTTTTTACTAGAAATTTAGTTAGTTACCTTCTTTGCAAGACTCTACAAATTTAACAGCATCTGCAGTAGTAATATGCTCCATTACAACCTTCAGCTGTGGAAGCCTTTGAACTAAAGGCTCCAAAATTGTTTCAATGAAGACCTTTTCTCGGTCAAAAATATCTACATCTGAATTTGTAACCTCTCCGTGAACCTGTAATGTAAAGTGATAAGAAAGTATAATGTAAAATTATAAGTTTTACATATTAAATAAAGGGCAAACATAAAGAATGAAGCATATCACTAGCCACCACTGACTGCCACAAGCACCACCCAGCTCATGGTTAAGTGTCGAAGAGTTAGTAGATGTTTTCAAAGGGGACTTCCTCCAAAATCGGTATCCAACATACCACCTAGTACATGCATTCTATTAAATGGAATAAAATAATTCATGAAAACGTGACATATTAGCAGTGATTTGAATTAAGAAGGCAAACATGAAATATAAGAATGAACCTTAAATATATATACAAACACACACAATTGGGGTGGGGAAAGAAAATGCAAAGAAATAAACAAAAGAAAAAACACAAATTTAAATTACCAATAATGGTAAATTTTGCTCAACCATTTCCTCGAGAACAGAAAAACAATTTCCAAAAAGATCTGTAACACCATCTTGGGAATTCGTAGTGGCACCAGCAGGATACAACTTCACACCATACACAAGTCCACTTTTTTCTGTCAAAATAAGTAGCATAATCAAGTATTGTACTATGATAAATAGGGATTTGGAGGAACAAAACCAGATAGATGAGCATAGAGGGTGCATTGCAGTCTGATCAAAAGATAAATGAACATTTATTATCATGACCTCATGGCCCATGTTAAAGACATTTGTTACAGGATCAAACATTACGTGTTAGACAATTGCATTGCAACAAATATTAGACTGATGAATAATAGGTAAAAGAAGATAACAGAAGCCTCGTTTTAACAAGATTAAGAACAAAATTTACATATATATAAATAGTCACACAAATTAAAGTTATGGATACGAGTAAAACTTTTTTCTCTTCATATTACATAGATAATAATTATTTTTTAAACGTGTGCATCCCGCCTATTACACTCACTTGCAAGTTTAATCTCATCAGGTGTAGTCAAGTCTGTGAGGTAAAGTGTCATGAGAGGAGTGAAGTTGCTATCTGTAGGTATTGCTTTTAAAATGGACTCTCGATAAGTGACTGCGGCAGATGTGGTAGTGATGGGCGGTTTCAAATTTGGCATCACTATAGCCCTTCCAAAATTCTTAGCACTGTAAGAGCAATAATCTGAATCAGAACTTTTGTGAACTCAATGTGAACACAATAAACAAAAAGGATGACATACTATACAGAGATGCACAATACAAGCCTTTCTCACATTGACCTCAAAAGATTAGGAAAGAGTAAAGCATCAACAGCATCAATAATCTTGTCCCACTATGTAAAGTCAGCTCACAGATCACACAATGCAATTATTAGGTTCGAGTACAAGCTAAATTTAAGGATATTCAACATGAAATCTCTTAATAATTTCCTCCAATGTCTTTTATGCTCTCCCTCTGCCCCTTTTAACAGGCTTAAAACTATGTGATCTACTCTCCTTAATAGTGCCTCAAGTAGCATTTGAATGTCCAGACCACCTTTTCGATTTTCTATCATTTTTTCCTCAATAGGAGTCAAACCAATTCTTCCTATAATCATTTACTTAGTATCTTCTTGCCTGACCACACACATTAACGTACTCGTTTATGCTACTGGCACTTTTGTTTTGCCCTTTTAAAGCACAACATAAACTGTCATAGAGCATAGCTTATCTTGCAGTTTACTACAACTTTCCTTTGAGCTAGAGAAATATTTAACAGCCTCGAATAACCCTCGATGTCTTTCTCCATTTAACCAGCCGTCTTGTATCTTGTGTGCGAAATCCCCATTAACTTTTCTGTGACATGCTATCATTTTGTGCTATATATATACTACATACTGAAACTTAGAAATTTGCAACATGAAAGATTCTAATTTTTACCTTTACATCATATTTTTTTTACCTCTTACTAAAAAGCAAGGCATA